ACAGAGTTAAAAAAAACTAACGATTTCATTCTGGAATTCCTAGAAGCAGTGCTCTACATACCCTCTTTTGAACTCGGCACATTTTTAACGTGTCGTTCGAAATGTTCAATGGTGCCCAAACACACGGGCTTACTAACCCATGAGTGTTTAAAGCCATATGCAAGGTACATATTCAGTATGAAGTGGCTTCAAGAGACAATAGGGAGTTTGGTGCCCAATAGACAGTAATTTTGGAGTCAACATATCCTGCAGGGTGAAAATGGACTTTTCCCTAAACCAATTAATGTCATCAAGGAAATAATCCCGCTTTTCAAGACAATCGAGGAACCATGACCACATTGTCATGCTTTAATTCATGGTGTCTGGGCCTAGCGAGGATGAAAATGGTACAGTCGTAAATTAAGATCTTCCATGAAAATGCAGATTTTTGAGGTGTACGAAAGTCCAAGTTGCAGATCGTCTACGGATAGACGTCTCATGGGACTCGACTACTGAAATCTGCACCTTGGTGACGTTTAAAGGGCTGCACATGGTGAGTGTTCGACCTGAAGTGGTAATTTTAAAGGACATTTTTAGTTCTGATTAACAATAGATCCAAACTAACGGAATTCCTCTACTCATGACACACAAGGTCTTGAGGGTACCTAAGCATTCTTCCCATGCCGTGCGCAGAACTTACGAAATGTCAGGGATAGTGAGTTTGTGGAGAGGTAATGTTCAGCACAAAAAACACCTTGCTCTTTACTAAACTTAAACTTGATCTCAGAAGGCAAACTAAATTTGGGAAAAATAATATCTGTACAATACTGTTGACTTGTTTGAAAGGCTGTAGCTTGCAATATCGCGCGATTATTGCAACTTTTAGAGGTAGACAGGGGCGAAGGCTGACTTGTTTGACAGGGTAATCAAAGTGAAATGGAACCAGATAGGGCCTGGAGATATCACACTCACACAAGTCACAAGAATCTTACTGGCACTGGAGGCGGTAACTCTGAGTTGTGAATGAAAACAAATCCTGAATTCATGTTGTATGCTTGTTCAACCGCTAAAATAATCGGGAAAGTATTTCATTAAATATTTATTCTAACTAATCTTAAATTTAACTTAAGATTTGAACACACGAACACCAAGGAAAGAAGCAGAGATGTCAGCACTACAATGGCATGTTATACCAGACAGCCGAAACACTTTGGTAGAGCATGCCAATTATTAATTTTTTATTTCACATTTGGCTGTTTTTTGTCTAGCTTTTCGCGGCCAGGAGCCGGTGTCATAATCGAGGTCACGATCTGATTATAGGACGTTAAAAAGTCGAGGAAAAAAACCAAGCACTAGCAGTGTAGTAGAAGGAGTCAAAGGATTATTAGGAGTTAGTTCCCCTCACATCTGTGAGGTAGACTCGACCAGTGTAATAGTTCGCTTACCTAATCAGCGCGTCTGGGTGCTTATAACTGTGGCCCGAAAGGGGTGAACAGGGTATATGCGACAATGAAACAGTTTTAACTGCTATGCACATGTTCCCTTTAACTCTATTGGTTGACTCTTCCGGCCTCGCTTTAAGCTTACTTAATCAAAGCTTGTGACTGCTTATGGAGTGGCCCGATAGGGGCGAACAGGCTATTTCTGTGGCAATGAAACGGTTTTGAAGGTTAGGCATTGTCTGGATTGTTCATTGGTGATTATGGACGTCTTTTTACATTTAATTTATGAGGTTTACGTCTATGGGTGAATTTGACTGCGAAAATGTTTCAAAATTAGGAAGGGAAGCAGTGATTATTTGATTATATAGACGCTTCGCCTCTGGAGGTAGGCCTAATGCAAACTGATGCGTCAAGCTACAAAAGTGGGGACAAGGTTGAAAATGGGTTGGTTTTTTTTAATGCGCCATATAGAGCAAAACCACTCAATGGACTTATCTAAAATGAATGTCAGACAAATTCCTTTTGGCTCCATTTTATGTTCAAATCTGAAAAGCCAAACTTCAGTAGGGAAAAAGATATTTACCAAGCAAGTTGAACAGTTTTTTTTGTCACCCTGTATCTTATATTCATTACAGTGTTTGTATATTTTTTTTTATTGTCCTGCGTTTATGTGTTTATGAGAACATGTGCGCGTGTAGATGTCTCTATTTGGTTGTAATGTAAATGTACTTATGTATACTTACTGCACACACTCACAAGCACACACACAAGCACACACACACACACACACACACACACACACACACACACACACACACTCACATACACACACTTACACACACATACACTCACGCTGCATATACGTACACACACATACACATACGCTCACACACGCTCACATACACACACACAGACTACACTTACAGACACATGCACTTAAACACATAGAGATAGAGAGAGAGAGAGAGAGAGAGAGAGAGAGAGAGAGAGAGAGAGAGAGAGAGAGAGAGAGAGAGAGAGAGAGAGAGAAAGAGAGAGAGAGAGAGAGAGAGAGAGAGAGAGAGAGAGAGAGAGAGAGAGAGAGAGAGAGAGAGAGAGAGGGGGGGGGGTAGGGGGGGGGGGAAGCCCATTTCTCATGATCTCTATTATTAAAATTTACTCCACTGTTGCTATAGCGTACAACTATGATGTTGGCAGGAGGAAAAATTGATCACCGTCATTCTTCATTATAGTATGCCAAATATTTCGAAAAAATCAGAACTAGAGTAAGTATGTTGTAGAGTTTTGTGAAGGGCATTGTTCCTTCGTTCATTCCTCCTCTTAAATAAATTATAGTACCGGAATTGACCAAGTAAATATTTCGGATATCTATAGAGTGTCCTGAGCAAAGCAAACCTTCGTATCTTGACATTCCACAATATTATCTTGAATGGCAGCGACGAAGTGGTCACGTGATCAGTTGATAATATGTTCCGCGCAATTAACCGATCGGCGCTATCTTGCGCTGCGCGTTTTAACGATCGTATAACAATCGTATAATTGTATCATTCTTGTGCACTCTTCAGTTTCATGTCTTAGTTTTGATTTTAATTTTAATTTTAGATTAGATTTAAATTTTCAAATTTTAACACTTTTGAAAATATACGTGAATGTTCCTTGATGTGAGTAAAAGAATAAAGATGGAAGTGAATAAATAAATTAAAAAAATAGAATAAATCAAAAGTACGTTTTGAACTTTGAGTTTGATACCTGGCATTGTATCATTCGTGTTGGCTCTTCAGTTTCATACGTTGATTTTAATTTTAATTTTAAATTCAATTTTCGTATTTTTACACTTTTGAAAATATGTGTGAATGTTCCATGATGGGAGATAAAGAATAAGGATGGTTGTGAATTTAAGAAAAAAAAAATATTTCAAGAATATAGAATATTAAAAGCAAACTTCAGATTGCCGCGCACTTAAACGATCGTTAAAACGCGCAGAGCAATCTTAAGATTGCCGAGCAATTACACGATCATTAAAATTGCGCGGAACAGATATATCGGCT